AGCAGGAAAACCACATCACTTCTTTCTGTTTTCTGTGCTGTGTGTTCCGACACTGGCTGTTGCTTCCTGATTACCATAATAAGGTTTGGGGACTCCCTTCTCCTCCCTTCTTTTGACGTTTTTCTGCCTAGTGTGATATAAAGTGGCACCTGGCAAACAGCTGGGGTGATATCTAGGGCACTTCTCTTCCAAATTCTCTTCATCTTTTTTTCCCCCAGTTTTTCCTTTCTTGAACAGATCTTCTAAACTTCAAGAATGTTTTGTTGTTTTTTTTTTTTGGGGGGGGTCGTTTGTTTTTCTGTTTGTTTGTTTGTTTGGTTTTTCAAGACAATGTTTTTCTGTGTAGCACTGGCAGTCCTGGAACTTGCTCTATAGACCAGGCTGGCCTCGAAGTCAGAGATCTATCTGCTTCTGCCTCCTAAATGCTGGGATTAAAGGCATGCACCAATACACACCTACCTCTCTGGCTTCTGGAATGTTTTTTAAATGTAGAAGAAGTACCAAATAAATGGTTTAAAAAATAGATTTAACTCCCTGATTGGAAAGTCATTGATTCCTGTGCTGTCTTCTGCAGCCCATCTGTATCGAGGGGACTGATACAACAGCTTTCCAATGGGCACCCGGGACACACTGAGAAGCACCTTGCCCTCAAGGAATGCATTTCATTTGGAGGCATATAAAGTAACAGACTATTAAGTGCTAAGTGAGTGGAACCTGTAAGCAGGCTGGCAGGCTGTTTCAAAAAAAAAAAAAAAGGGAGTTTGAAAGAGTTTGTAGTAGTCGTTATGAATTTTAGAAGCCAGGTAAAGGACTAAAAGCTTCTCGATACAGTGTCCATAACAGCACACAAGCATATTAATAACTGGGTGGTTGATGAACATACTAAGTATATATGCTGATACTCACCAATAAAACGGGTTCCTGCCGGGGAGCAGAGGAGTTGAATGCAAGAAAATATTCAGGTTGTAGGGAACCGTGAATGCTTGGCTAAGGACCATGCCTTTACTCCCGTAGCTTACTGAAGGGAACTAAAGGCTTTTAAGAAAAGTAGATTAGGGAGATTAATTTGCTGGTAGAAGGTACAAAGGTTTTGAAGGGGGAGAGACTAGAGGCAATGGGCTATTGGGTAAGAGCTGCCAACAGCATCCACTCGGAGCACCGATCAGGCAGCATGATGGGAGGGGGTAGAAGGAACACAGGGGTTTAGACCATAGTCGAGGGCTCAAGTCTGAGCAAGTAAGGAAATGTTGGTTTCCTTAAGGGAGGGACGAGGATCTAGTCTCAGAAAAGACCTGGATACTTTCAACTTTGGGTAGTTGGCAAGACATGTGGGCCTTAATATTAGGCCACCTAATAGACAGAGCTGTAGCATGGAAGCCTTTGTCCCAGGTGACCCAGGTAGGGTCATTAGAGGGTTTGCATGTTCAGCTTTGTCCCTTTCAGGGCAGGAGAAAGCACCTGGTGTGGGTGTTCCCAGTCCTCTAGGGGCCTATGAGTTAGTCAGGGGACAGCACTTTAATAAGATCAGCTGACAGATGAGCCAGTGTCAGGGGGTGGTTTGGCAGTATGTCACGGGCTGCTAACTCTGACACGTTAAGTGTGACATTATTGATGACTTTTGCGCCTGGCTAAGAGTGTTGACAATTAGCAAATTAGATCTCTTCATTTTTGTCTTGCTCTTAACATTTTATGGGCGTGACAGGGGGTGTAACCTGGGGCAAACCATTTAACCTTTCTGTGCCCCTGCCAATGACACAGGGAGCCTGTGGGAGCGCTTATAAACAGGGAAAGCTGCAGATGAAAGGGCACGTAGGCTCCACCCACTTCCTCCAGTGACTGAGTCAGTCATCTGGGAAGGGCAGCCTTTTCTAGGCTTTCTTTCAACTACTTGTTAATAAGCATTTTCCCCCCTAAAATGCTTCTGCCAGTTCAGGGTGAAAAGAGATAGTTTCTAACTGCCCCCTTTAACATTCTGGGCCTGCCCATCTTGCTGGCCGCTTTTCACCCAGGCTTTTGCCGTATAACTCCCATCTGTAGGTTCTGGGATTAAGCCCGGGAGTATTGGAAGGGAATTAGGGTTTTATGCGAATATCCAGGGGCCTCAACATAAGGCAAACCCACTCGGTGTGAAATTTTGGCCCAGTTCTAGGCATGAAGCTATTTTTTTTTTCTGTAAGTTTCACTCCATCCATCAAATCTGGCTTTTGGATATTTGTCTTGTTCTCCAGGGTCACCAGAATTTTTCCAGGACCTAAACTCAAGGACATGAGTTTGGACCCCGAAAACCCCAGCAGTGCCGGGTGATGGTGGCGCATGCCTTTAATCCCAGCACTCGGGAGGCAGAGGCAGGCGGATCTCTGTGAGTTCGAGGCCAGCCTGGTCTACAGAGCTAGTTCCATGACAGGCTCCAAAGCCACAGAGAAACCCTGTCTCGAAAAAAACAAAAACAAACAAACAAACAAACAAAAAACCAAAAAACAAAACCCCAGCAGTGAGGCTAGGGTCTTGCAATAAGCAACATATTTTCTCATTCTTGCCATGATTCCCTCATGTTTTGCCTGCCCCTTGAGCTCTCCAGGCAACCTTGCAGCCGTCCCTTGGCTTCTAACACACTGGAGATACCTCCTATCGGCTGCCTTCCTGGCTTGCTGAAGGTTAGTTCTACATCTGCCACCATAGTCTCTTCTGGTCCAGGCGGGTCTGCCTCTCATCTTATGGGCGCATTTAGTTCTAGACTCCATTTCTCCTGGTCTGCCCCACTGTATGGCAGTTCATTTTCCATATTAAACCACGGCAGATGTTTGCTGGCATGGAAACTGATGTGCTATTGGAATTTTAGCCCTGTTTACATCTTCCTTTGTGTTGGAAAGCTCGGGATCATGTCCAGTTTCTCAGAGAGCTTTCCTGTCTCCTGCAGGAGAAACAAAGGAAAACCGCAGCTGTCTTGTGCCAGTGACTCAAGCCATTAGGCCTTATTTATTTAATTATAATGTTGCATTATTTCATCTTAATTTTGTTTTTAGGCATACATTTAAAATACATGCTGATGTGAACTTATTCATACCTTTTAATTTCAAAGTATTTTTAATCGAACTTAAATAGCTTTATGATTATTCAATAATAAATCAAAGTTGAGAAGGGTGTTCTCCCTACCTGTTCCTTTAAATCCTCTGGAAGGTTTGTTAAAACTTGCTAGGTCTCCCCCACTCCCTACCCCCAACTCCCTCACCCCGCCTGAGTTTCCCTAAGCATTAATATGAGAATTTCCATTTCTAAGTCATTCTTAGGTAACGCCCCTCACACCCCTTTGAGAACAGCTGACCATACTAATTCCTACCTGAGTGGATCTGGAAAGCTCTCACAGTCCTCGCAGCAAGAATGAATGCTGACTTCTGAGCTCTTTATGAGAACCTGGGCAATCAGTTTGAACGGCACAGCCCTCATTGATAAAAAAAATAAGGATAGCCAAGGCATTGCCTCAAAGGAGCGTTGTGAAGGGTAAGGGAAACAGGTGTGAAAATAACCACCTCTACAGTGGCATGGCGCCCAGAGGCACTGCAATGGGTGGTTAACCACTTTTTAAAAATGCCATCAGCTGCTCCGACTCACTTGCTTCCCCCCCATTAATTATAGCAACTTTAATCTGGGGAAACAGTGCACATTTATTGCTACAATAAACTCAACCTTCAAACTCTTAAAAAAAATCATCCAGTGAGATCAGACATTAGACAGGGTCAAGAATGAGTCCCAGTGGCCGGGCGATGGTGGCGCACGCCTTTAATCCCAGCACTCGGGAGGCAGAGACAGGCGGATCTCTGTGAGTTCGAGACCAGCCTGGTCTACAGAGCTAGTTCCAGGACAGGCTCCAAAGCCACAGAGAAACCCTGTCTCAAAAAAAAAAAAAAAAAAAGAATGAGTCCCAGTTTTTCACAACTATAAAACGAGAAGGACAAGACCCCATTCAAAGTTTGGGTGGCATCGGTCATTTTTCAACCCTGCTGAGGAAAAAAATGGCTACTAGCTACAACACATGAAAAAGAAAAGTTGTGGTGCACATATAACTTGTTCATGTCATACTTTTATATCTCTTGCAATTTGTATTAATTTATGCCTATTGGGAAGCAGTAAATGTTCACAGTTCTCACCGTCGTCCTTTTTCTCACCCAAACTGCCTCCGGCCCAACCAAAGGGCTAACATAGTTCGTGCTCAAATTGTGGGCGCTGTTGACTTTTCCACTCGGCTGCAGCCTTACTTCTTCCAGGCCTGCGGCGTCAATCTCAGTTTACCCCCAAATGTTTTTAGGTCTTGGACAAACGCCACAAATGCCATCCCTACAGGCAAGGTCTACCAATTCGCAGCCTGGAAGGCCATTCCCCTTTAAGGACTGGTAACTGAGCTTGCGGGGTGTGTCGTGCCCGGCTCAGTGGGGTACCCTGGCACGTGCCCCCACCCCACCCCACCCCACCCGCCCCACCCCCCACTCCCTCTCCGCGTCTGCACGCTTCTCCCGGGCGCCAACAGGAGGCGCTCGCGCGACCGAGGCGCTGCGCGTACCGGTGGGGCCCGCGAGCGGGCGGAGGGAGCGGGAGGAGGAGCCGGAGGGGGCGCGGCTTCTTCCGCGTCCTCCCCGGCGCCCGGTCGCCTGCTCCGCCAGGCCCGGGCTGGCGGCCGGCGGGGGTCGCGGCGGCGGAGGCGGTGGTGGCGGAGGCGCTGGCGACTCAGGCTCGGGTTCGGAGCGTGGAGACAAGATGGCGGCGGCGCTCCGGAGCCTGGCCTCCTCCTCCTCCTCGCCGCTCTCCGCCCCACCGCTTGCCGCCTCCTCCTCCATCGTCTCCTCCTCCTCCTCGTGCAGCAGCAGCACCAGCGAGCGCCGCGGCTCCGGGCCGCTCTCCTGGAGCTCGGGAGGGGGCTAGACTGGGCCTTGGGCGAGCAGGCGACGAGGCCGAAGCTGGGGCCCGGGCGGGGACGACGACGGCGGCGGCGGCGACGCCGGGTGGGGATGGGGTCGCAGACGCTGCAGATCCTCCGGCAGGGGGTGTGGGCCGCGCTCAGTGGCGGCTGGTACTACGACCCGCACCAGGCCACCTTCGTGAACGCGCTCCACCTCTACCTGTGGCTCTTTCTGCTCGGCCTGCCCTTCACGCTTTACATGGTGAGTGGAGGCGGGGACGCGCTGCGATCGCCTCTGGGGGGGCACCTCGGGGGTTCGGGGGTCGCGCCCCTGTCCTCCCGGTGTGCGGCGGTCCGGGCGGCGGACGAACGCTCCCCTCCCCCGCCCCGCTCTCCTTCCCGGGTTTCCCCTCTTTTCAGCACCTCCCTCCCGCCGGTCCCCGGCCGGCTCCCGCTTCCTCACGCGCCGGGTCTGCGTAAATTGCGCCCGAGGCCTTCCCTCGGGGTCCCCGGTCCTCCCCGGTCTCGGGCTACCTTTCCTGCCCCACTCTCCGGGGCATCCCCACCCGCACCTCGGCCCCGGCTGTGCGCAGCCTGGGGGAGGCCGTGCGCGCTCCGCCTGGAGCAGAGTCGCGGGGTGTCCCGGCTCGCACTCGCTTCCCTGGCCCGGGGGGAACCCCGAGCGGGCTCGAGCTTCTGCAAACCGCTCGTCGGTTGGGTGCGGGTTCCATTCGGTTCAGCCCCACGACGAGGGGCTGTAGTGTTGCCAGGCCAGCGCTGCGGGCAGGGAGCGGGGAGACAGGGGAACCTGGCTGGCATTTCACCCATTTGTTTGCGTTGGTTCAAGGCCTTTGACTGGCAGGGAAAAGGAAAGTACCGCCTGTTGCTTGGTGCACTAGGGCCAGTTTCTCTGAAGTGTTTTGGTGTTCCCGGACTGTTTCCTTCTATAGCCAAGGCTGGCCCGAGATTCGCTGTGTGGTCCAGGCCCTAGAGTTACTGGGATTACCAGCGTGAGCCACCTCTCTAGAAAGTTTTAAAAGATGTTTTCCTGAAAAATGTTAGCACATTTCTAACAAAGCAAAACAGCACTGTATTTTAGGTTGGGGCATTTGAGAAAATAAAGCTTTCAAATTTTAATTTGGAAGGAAGGATAGTAACTTTCGTTTTCAGGGAATTTCTGTTAACTTCGTGGTTCTTCAAGGTGCTGGGTTAGAAAATCCGGGAAGAGGAGTATAATAAGTGCCACAAGTTAGGACAGCCTATTTGCCTCATTGCTCAGTATCACTAACTGGCAGGAACATGCCTTGGGGGATGGTGAGTGTGCGTGCTAAATGTCACATTGCCAAGCAGATTCTGATTTCTCATAGAAATGTATTTGAAGGAACTTACACGAGCTTAAAGGAGCTATTTTTAAAAACGCCGATGGCTTATTACAGGACTTGTTCAGTCTTGTCAAGATCGGAAAATTTATCACCAAATGTTATAATTTGAATTTATTTTGGCCGACCAGGTTCACTGTACCTTCCAGGGATATGATGTCGTTAATGAGCAGCTCCTGTGGCTTTGGTTGTGGGGATCCTCAGGCTCACAGGGCTTTCAGAGCTGGCGTCTCTTGTGTCCTGACAGGTTGTAGGTTTAAGACAAAATGATTGTCCGGAGGTCAGGATTTGTTGCCGTGCCGCTGTAAGGTTTGTGTCGTAAGCCTCTTTGTAGAATTAACTGAACCACAGACGAGACTAGGGGAACGGCTCCTCTGCTTAGCTCTCCCGCTTGCCTCTGCCGTGTCTACACGCAGTTCACCTGCTTCGTAATCTTCCTAGCAGCTGAAGTGTTGTTGCTGTGCCCTGGGCCGTCTACACTTGTTCTTCCTACTCTTGGGGGGGGGGGGGGGAGGGGCGGGAGGGCACTAAGACGACGACACAGACTCTTCCCTTCCTGGATAGTTGTGTGGCTTGCTTTGGTTAGATTATTTCAGGCTTCTGGCATGTGAGACTTTCCCGGATAAGTAACATAGCGCTTCCGAACTCTTCTGCCTGCTTTCTAACTAACATTTTCTGCTGGATGATACATGTACTTAATGTTTTGTCACCTTGTTACACTGTGTAAGCTAATAATAGACTATGCGCTCTGGCCAGGTGGGGGCTTCATTGTGTTCATTGCTGCTTTCTCGGGGCTTAGAGCAGTGCAAGGCACATGAGATGATTAGGAAATGAACAGGACTCCCTTTCTTCTGTCAGGGAACTTAAAAGTCTAGCCTAGGGATCATAAGCAGCAACAAGTGTTCTTTCTGATTGTAGGGATGATGATGAATGATCAGAGTTCATGGTTGGGGAGTCAGCAAAGAGGACTTGTACCTTTTTAGGAAACAGGCTAGTGCTATAGGATTGAGATATCTAGTATTGAGATAGTGTGACATAGATATCCAAGTTAAAGCAAAATTCTGCCTTCTGTATTAAAACCTCACGCATGGTTATTATTCATGTGTTCTTCCAGTAATAGTTGCAGGTGATGGTGACTTTACTGAGCCTGTGTACAGGTTCTGAGCCCTGCTAAGTATCCTCATGTGGCTGAGCCATTGTGACTCGTTTTATTGCTGTAGGTAGGTGTGAACTGGGATTAATACAGAACATTTTGAAGCCAGAGTCACCATTCAGGATCCCTGTAAACACACACACACACATGCACACATGCACGCACGCGCACACACACACGCACGCACACACACACCCTTTCAGCTTTTGTGGGTCTTTCAAAGGGGTAGGATACAGTTTCTACAATTAATTTCTAAGTAGTGGAAATCAGAAAAAAAAGCTTCCTGGTTATCTGATTATCTTCTGTTCTCCTTGTTTACCCCTTTTATATTGTTCTAATGGTAATGGGCATGACTTGTCATGTGTGAGATTTTTGGGAAGTATAGGGTAGCTTTTTTGGGGGTTGGGTGGGAAATAGGTGTTATCATGATTTTGATCTTGGCCTTGCTGTTGATTTGTGCTCTTTGGGCAAGATTACTTTCCTGAACCTTGATTTGCTCATGTGTGACATATTTCATGAGTATTTTACACGGTACTTATCAATTCAGTGAGGGCAGGGGCCAGATAGAATAAATATTCAGTGTCTTCTTTGAATAAGTGTTTGTTGACTGAGAACTGTATTACATATGTGGACCTTCTTTAGGCTGACCACCAAACTGATCTGGAATACTTGGGTGCAGAGGGGATGTCTAGGAGGTTGTATTGTCTGGCAGGGTTGTTAGTTTCTGTGGCTGCAAAATCATATGCTGGGATGACTCCAGACAACGTGTGGGTTTTGTGTGTACAACCTTGCACAATTATACGCATATAACAATATATAAAGTAATATATGCTAAGTACCCTGTGGAGTGATTATCTTAAGTTTATCATTCATATATCATTTATGATTCTAACTTTCCTAGTTGCTGTCATTACTCATTTTTGTAGTTGACCTTTATCATCTGTAAAGACTGCTTTGAAGCCCTCAAGTAATTTTCTTTCCTAAAGATTCAGAAATTTTAAAGATGACTAAAAACTCATACTTCATACAGTATGGTTCTCTTATGATTGGTGTCTTTAGAGCCCTAACTAGCAGGGGCTGAGGATGTAATTCATTTGACAGTATGCTTATGAAGTATAGCATAATAATACCCTGAGTTCAGTCCCTGGAAGCGCACAAACCAGACCTGGGGTTACAAGACTCTTAACACTCAGGAGGCAGAGGCAGGAGGAGCTCAAGTCCACCGCCATCCTTCTCAACTACACAGAGCTTGAGCCAGCCTGAGCTATATGAGACCCTGCCTCCAAATAAATTAATTAAAATCAAACCCTCTAGCTAATGGTCTGTTCAGATGCTTAGGAGTGATCTAGACATGTCCGTAACTTACTGTCTTAGTCGCTGCTCTGTTGTGTGAAGAGACATGACCTCTGCACCTCTTATAAGAGAAAGCCTTTAATTGGGGCCTGCATACAGCTTCAAAAGCTTAGTCCATGATCATCATGGCAGCAGACTTGGTGGCAGGCATTGCAGGCATGGTGCTGAAGTAGTTGAGAGCTACCTCTTGATCCAAAGGCAAAGAGAGAGTTAAGACTGGCAGGGACTTTTGTGACCTCAAAGCCCTCCCCCAGTAACACTTCCTTCAAGGAGGACACACCTCCTAATCCTTCTAATCCTATCAAACAGTTCACTTTCTGGTGACAAAGCATTCAAATATGTGGGCCTATAAGGAATGTTTTTATTTGTTTGTTTTTTTTGAGGCCGAGTTTGTCCGTGTGGCCCTGACTGTTCTGGAACTCCTTCTGTAGGCCAGGCTGGCCTTGAACTCAGCAGAAACACCTGTCTACACCTCCAGAGTGCTGACATTAAAGGTGTGCTCCACCACTGCCTGGCTAAAAATGACAAGGTTTAATGTTCTTAATAAGAGCAAAAAACAAATCACCACACGAATTCTAGAGATATCTCCTTAAATAAGTGGTCAGACATAGGGATCTACAGAAGAAGGCATGGGATGCAAAACCGGAGTCAAGTGGACAGTGCTAATTTCAGCTCCTCTGTCTAAAAGTTCTCATTGGTAAAAGGCCAGAAATTTTAACTTGTCAGGTCAGTGAATTGATAGACTTCCTGATTAAATCTGTGTGTTCACAGGCTGGAAAAGAAACAGAAACTCCTTTAGTTTTCCAACAATTAAATGATTTTTATGGCTTACAGTGGTTTCTGAAACTGTGGTATTTCATCTTTAACAAACATAGCAGGCAGCTTGTAAGTGCCTATAATTCCAGCTCCAAGGAATCCAATGCCCTTTTCTAGTTTGTGTGGGTGCCTATATATTTATGTTCCCTCCCTCCCTCCCTCTCTCCCTCCCTCCCTCCCCCTCCCCCCTCTCTCCCCCTCCCTCCCCCTCCCCCTCTCTCCCCCTCCCTCCCCCTCCCCCCTCTCTTCCCCTCTCCCTCCCTCCCCCTCCCCCAAATAGTTCAGTTTGCTTTGCAGTGTTTTAGAACTTTTTGGTTTCTTTTGACTGATGTTTCCATGAGGGAACATAAGGGTTTTTTTTTTGTTGTTGTTTGTTTGTTTATTTATCATGTATACAACATTCTGCCTCCATGTATGCCCGCACGCCAGAAGAGGGCGCCAGATCTCATTACAGATGGTTGTGAGCCACCATGTGGTTGCTGGGAATTGAACTAAGGACCTCTGGAAGAGCAGCCAGCGCTCTTAACCACTGAACCATCTCTCCAGCCAGGAACATGAGTT